GAAGAAAACTTGCTTCTTGATCTGTCCAAGGCTCAGGGGATTTGAACCTTAGGCTCCATAAAAAATATTTAAAATTTATTAAAAATATTTGTTTATTAAATTTTAATTTTAAAATATATTTTTAAATGTTAAATATTCATATTTTAGTTTTTTTAATATTTTAATATATTTTTTAGAAATCAAGCTTAGTAACCATGAAAGATTAGTCAAGCCTTAGGTAAGAATTTTCCAAGACCAATCACACTCGTTCAGATCACCATGAACACGTCTAGTTGCTTCCTTTATGCCTTTATTTTCACTATCAGGATTAATTGGAAGTCTTTAAAGTACTTTGTAGACTTGGAAAAAGATTTGCACCATAGAAGCAAATAATGGGGGAATCTAACCAGATAATGGCAATAGAAAATAAAGAAGTGGGTCAGTTGCATTTGTGTTTACCCTGATTTGATACCTCTGGTGTGTATTCTTTTTTTTTTTTCTCTTTTGTCGAAACTCCAAACTCACCTATCAATTTCAACACATAAAGAAAAAACTTTATAATAATAATTAAGTCTATATCACTCCAACTATCTACAATGCCAAACTAGATTTTGATTGGTAAATAGATAGACATATTTCAATTGATGTATAATTGTTATACTTTTCAACTGGATCTTCGGTTAGAAATTTGTATGCAAAACTTTAAAGGGATCTTCAGTTATCTCCTTGAATGCAAGCAAGGCAAGTTGATCAGTTTCATTCGTAGCATGGCAGATGCAAAGTTTAGGTGAAATAAAAAGAAGATATGCAGCATCCAAGCTTTTGAGCTCTCCATTCATAGCCTTCTAATGTCTAGATTAGTGTGGATCAGGGAAGGAAGAAAATTGCAGCAGGTTTATTTAAACAGAAACTGACATCAAAAGAAACTTGGGGTAAGTTCAACCATGTCTGAATTCAGAAAGTCAGAAGCCTAGCTGTTGGTTCTTGTCTGTCAATCTATTGATGTAAACATTCAAATAACATAAAATATGGAAATTATCAATGGGAAATCTCATTGTGCCAATGTTTAAGGAAAGTGACAAAGTCCTCTTGTGAAACAAAGCATTGTACCTTGTCTTCCAAGAATCAAAGACTTCAATTTAAGAGTATTAATTTCTTGCATCATGTTTCATATCCAGGATTACAATATATTATTGATTACTGAAAGTCACCTCTTCAAATTAGGTTGAAAAAGACAATTAGATCTGAACACTCTGGTTAACAAGAATCTGTTAGACCTTTGAATTTACTCAATGACCTTGACCTGACCTCTTTAGTGTGAACTCTTTTTTTTTCTTTTGGTGGGGAATCAAACTTGATAATGACAATGGAAAATAAAGTAGTCGATCTGTTGCATTTGCATTTACCTTGACCTTATTTTTTTTGGTGTGAAATCATTGTTTTTTTTTTTTTGGTCCAAACTCCAAATTCACTATCAATTTCAACACATAAAGAAAAAACTTTATACTAATAATTACGTATATGTCACTCCAACTATATACGTTGCCAAACTAGATTTTGATTGATAAATAGATAGACATATTTCAACTGATGTATAATTGTTATATTTTTTAACTATATTTTATATTAATTTTTTATAGTATTTTCCTAATTCATATGACCTTTGAAAAATTTCAGGAATTTTGCTCTGGAAATGAAAATTGACAAACTGACCATTAATTTGAAGAGTAAGTGTATGTAGTCATGAGTAAATTTAACTTTATTGAACCATTACTAGACTTAATTATCAGTGTTCTAGTTTCCACCATGGTTGGTGATCATACCAGAAGATTATGGTCAAATTAAAACCAGTTAATTTAGAACTGGAAAATGGAAATAGCCTGAATTGAATGGACATGCATAAACCATGTGGATTCTTCCATTTTATTTCATCAAAAGAAAAGAAAAAAAAAAGAAACTCTACCATTTATGGTGCCACCCGGTGACAATCAGTGCTTTTCTCAATCTGTTTGATTTTTTTTAATAAAAGAAATAATATTCCTTCTCAGGGATATTCATTAAATTTTAACTTCTTGAAAATGAGAAAATCAAAAGATGGGGAAGAAGCTTATCCTTTGATCAAAACATGAGTGATTAAAATGCAAACAAAATGATCAAAAGAATTAATCCTTGTGTTCTTGATTAAACTGTTACATCCAATTTTGAATTAGATGCGTTTGTCTTATTCTTCCATATTTGCTGTATCTTATCTTCTTACCATGGTAGCCATCTCCCACAATAATATTGCTGCTACATATTCATGGAACATTAACATTAATAATCTTTTTCCCTTCCCCTGGACGTTGATGACCATATAGTCACTCTAGTCAGAAAATACACCTATATTTCTTTTCATCTTAATTTCTTTATGAACAATTCTCGGTATAAATTCTTGTTAAAAAAATGATAGAAGAGGAAAAGTTTGGATTCTATCTAGGGTGAAAATTATGGACCCCCCCCCCCCCAATTGTATGTTATTTGTAACATACATGAAAACAATAGTTAGTTGCGCTGTGATTTCTTTGTGGAAAAAGAAAAGAAGAAAGTTGTGATTTTTTTGTGGACCAGATTTGGTTGCGTCTGCATAGTTTCTGGGTCAATTCCCCTTGAATAAAAGCTACTCTCGAGAAATTAATAGAGACAGAAGCTTTATAAAATTCATTTGTCTGGATTTAAATGTAGCTGAATAACCTACCAGACAAATTTGGACATAAACTCATTCTCAATCCAAGAATGTTAAGCAATAGGCACGAGAAAATTTGTATTATTATTCATGAAACCCGAAATACTAGAGGTGGAATTTTATTCATCAAATCTAGACACAAAATTAAGAACTTGAAGCCAAATCCAATATTCTTACATGAATTTCTCTTTGAGACAACTAAAGGTATAGTTCCCAGACTTGACTGAAGCCATAGATACTCAAAGAAATTAAGGCAAAGTGTCTCTTCCGGACGACAAAATTTCAAAGGTAGGTGTTGAACTGAGATATTTTTATTTACTTTCACATATAGAACTTCTATGAACCACCAGCCAATAGAGAATAGATAGTTTTTGTTTTTTTATTGTCAATCATTGAATCACTAAAATTAAGAGTTCAATACTCTATCAATGAGCTACTGTTGGCAAAATAAATAGTTACTGTCATGTTAAAGATCAGTTTTCTGGTGGCTATTATTATCAAGTTTCATAACAGGCAATCATATGCTAATTACCAACCAGATTTGACTGCAAAGACTAATTGAAGATGACACTGCATTAAAAGAGGTAGAAAAATTTTCCAATGCCAAGAATTCGAATAGATTTTTTCAAGGATTTCTTAAGTGCCAAAATATCCAAACGCATGATTATATGCAGTGAAACTGTTGGAAACTTTATTATCTTTTGGTGTTCAAGGGACAACTCACTTCAGATCCACATAGTCTGTTTTCCCAAGTTTCAGATATTTCTGATCCTGCCCTGACTTTCACTGCAAAATAAAGGGAAAAAAAATCCCCATATCCATATCTAATGATGGAATATATCCGTCAGAGATAAGAATGCATATATATTTTTTGTTTTTTGGGTCAAATAATAAGAGCATTTGATGTTGATGGTAAGAAAAATGGAAATGAAAGTTGAAAATATAAACCAATAAAATAGAAGGTGTCTGATTCTTTTTTCTGAAATCAATTCCCCACACATGTTTTGAAGTTTTGATTGCTTAGATTGGAGCCTGAATGCCTCTTTGTTAGTTGGACAAGTTACTGATCAGAAGCTAAAATTTTCGATCACGTCTCTTGTAGGCTACAATATAGGTAGTATGTTCAGTTTACTTTGAAAATTTATTGAAAGACCTTCATTCCATTCAACTTGTGTCAATATCAATGTTCTAATGGTTGGTGGAGATTCTCTTTAAAAAAAAAAAAAAAAAACAATGGTGATCAATGGACCTGTAATCTCTTTTAAGTTATATCTCACAATGTCTTGCTTTGAATTCAAGTCAGAAGATCATAATCTTAATAACTAAACTCTAAATTGAATCCATATTCATGCAAATTAGGTAGTCATAGTTCATACATCAAAGAAATACATTCTTGTATGCATTAATTAAAAGTTAATGACATAAAGTATTCTAAACTATAGTGAAATAGTTAATGTATTATTTAAATTTTAAAATTTTCTATTTCAATATATGAACTATGAATCTATTAATTAATATGTACTTTATTTTAAATGATAAGATATGATGAACAAAGAATTTTTTAAGTACTACATTAATTAACAAGTTTATAATTTAAATATCATATTAAAAATTTTAAAAATTTAAACATTAGATTAAACATTTCACTAAAATTTAAAAGTCATTCATAAAATTAACCCATTAAATAATGACAATATGCAATGAAGAAAAACATCTATATGAAAAAGTTAATTAGTTCTTAAATTCAAATCTTAATTCTTTCCCTTATTTTTATGTTATTTATAATTTTTTTCAACTATCTTAAGCTACGACCTCCTATAAAAAAAATTAGATATAAGATAATTATTAGAAAGGAAATATTGAGTACAAAATTTCTTCTATAAATAATTAAACCAAGAAAATCAGATATATATTTATTACAGTTTTATGGATCTCCAACTTATGAATTGAAACCCAAATAAAGGCCCAAAATATCAAGCCCAAATAAAGAGTTATCTTATCGCCCTTCATTTTAGCTTTCCTTCAGACCGAGACTTCAGACTTCCAACTTCCATAGCTCTTTTTATTTCTTTAAAAATTAAATCTTTGAAGTGTTCGTACAAGATCAATACAAAGTTGAGTTTTATAGAAAGAGGGAGGTCACCTCTGAAAACAACAAAGCCAATAATGGAGAAAGGGAGAAGGTATTGTTCACTTCAAGCCATATGCTAATGCTTTTACCAATTTGTTACTTATCCGAATCAAAACAAAGAAAGAACGTTGTTCTGCTTATTCTGGTTTCTAATTATGCTTGACTTGCTAGGTGCTAAAGTTGTATGCGGAAATATTGATATTATGCTTTTCATCATCTTTACTTAAACTTTGAGGCTTTGAGCTGGTTTTATGCTTTTCAACATCTTTACTTATGCCTTCAAATATGCCTTTAGTTTTCCGTAAGTGTGTTCTCTGAGACATGATTTATGGCGCGAGAGTGTCCTATATCTTTCAAGATTAAAATTTTCCTCTTATGGAAATTCCTTATGAAGCTTTTTTCATTGATCTGTCCAATAATTTACGACACGAAGAATGAAAGGACAAAGGTAATGGTGGTATGAAGAATTAAACATTGATGCAGTGGTGATATTCAGAACAAGGAAACGGTTATGGTTCTATCTCAACATGCACATAGACAATGTTGAATTTCCAGCATCAATATTTGTAAGCTAGGTAGTATTAATATTGGTGTCACTTTATCTAACTAGTTTATCAAGGGGAAATGTTACTTACCTTATTTTTTCAACTAAATGGATTGATTTAATTGTCTTTTTTTAAAAATAAAAAAAAAAATTTATATTAACTTGCGGAAAAAGGTGTTGCAGAACAGTTTATTTGCATTATGCTGAATTCTGATTTGATGGTAATCCACAAGAAAAGGAAATTCATACAAATTACATACACCAACAATAGGTGGACAAACTTGCTCTTTATTTTTCTCTTCTCCATTTCGAGTTCTTGTTGGAAAAGTTTTACTTCTGGAAATACCAGATACAATGTGAAATAAAGGACGAGCAGTACTTTGCCGCACTAAAGCCTCCCAAGTCCATTGATATGGCTCTTCAGACACCTGAAGCATATGAAAACAAAGAAATCATGAAATTAAAACATCATATTTACTTCTATAGAATGTAACCAACAAACAATTTACTTGCTCAAATCATTTGAACACAGTATTTATCTGAAAAGTAGTAGAAATGTGCCTTAAGTCATGAAATGGTTTGAGTATTTTGTTAAGAATAATGCAAATTGTTTACCTGCTGATTGAGCAGCATATAAAGTTTGGCCCTCACGATGTAATCGAGTTGGATGAAGCTTGTCTCTAATGGAACAAAGCTTGGTAACAGCATCACTCATGTCCATCCGCTCACTCGGGGATTCAGCAGAACAAGTGACTCCTATTTCAAATATTGAATTCCAGAATTGAAAATGCCTGTCATTTCCTTGTTTGACTCGCTCTTCAATAAGAATGAGATCATAATCTCAATCACTCGTCCAGGCAAAGCTGCCACAACAAAGTTGTGAAGGTTGAAACCTTCTTTGAACATTCATTAGTCGGCCTTTTCACCGTAATCATCTCAAGCACAAGGATGCCATAGCTATAAACATCACCTTTTATTGACAACTCACTTCCCATCCCATATTCTACAATAAATTCATCACAAATTATATAAATTATAGTAATAATTGTAGAAGAGATACCTTGAAAAATATAAAGATATAGCCTCTGACATCCAAGCTTTAAACATGTAAAATTACATTCTAATTTGAAGTAATGTAGTCATTTTTCGGTAACCAAAAAGTACTTCCACATTATGTTTTGCTTTTGAATTATGTTGTTCTAAGAGAAAAGTATTAAAATGGGAGAAATGAATAAAATGTACTTACCTGGTGGAGCATAACCAATAGTTCCTCTTAATCCGAGGGAGCTTGACTGAGTAGTAGAATTGTTAAGCCTGTCAGCAGAAAGGATTTTTGCTAAGCCAAAGTCACTTATATGGCCAACCATTTCCTCATCAAGTAGAATATTGCTTGGCTTGAGGTCAAAATGAATAATTGGTGCATCGCGATGATGGTGCAAATACTCCAGTGCATGAGCAACATCTACAGCCACATTTACTCTTTGGAAGAAATTCAGGTTTCAGATCATCTCCTCTTCAATCATGCCAACAGATGGATACAGCCAATCCTCCAAACTTCCGTTCGCCATGAACTGATAAACCAATGCTTTAAAATCATTGCCTTGATAATCGGCACCTGAAATTGCTGTTAATACCTTGACAAGATTCCGATATCTAATGTTCCTCAAGGCCTCACATTCAGCTAAGAAGCTTCTGGATGCTCCATGAGTAAGAAGATTAAGCACCTTAACAGCAATAACTACTCCATTCTCTTCAAAAATTCCTTTGTATACAGAACCGAAGTTACCTGAACCAACCAAAATTTGCACGGAGAATCCATCAGTAGCCCTTAGGATGCTTTGGTATGATAATTGTAAAAGTGAATTTTCTGCACAAGTTGCTGTTGGCTGCTTTTTTTTCTTTCTAAACCACAAAATGAAGAAAAATGAGAATACCAAAGTCACTCCTAAAATCACAAAAACAATTGTAATTTTTAATTTGAAAGAAGTGTTTGATCTTCTGTTGGATTCTTTCGAGTTGCATCTGGACAACTGTACTCGGGGATGCCTCCACAAAGCTTGCTATTTCCCTCAACGAATGTAGCAGTTGCATTCTTAAAGACTCCTTCAATTGGTTTCATACCCTCAAAATCATTGAAAGATAGATTTAAATACTCTAATGACCCAAAGCTCAGAAGAAATTCTGGAATCTCACCAGTAAGATTATTATCAGATATGTCTAATGCCACAAGACCCCTCAATGAACTCAAAGACGAAGGAATGGGCCCTTCAAACAAATTGCCATCCAAGAAAAGGTACTCCAATCTTACACAGCTACCAAGATTGTTTGGAAGCAAACCAGATAAACTATTATGAGAAACATCCAACATACCTAGATTTTTCAGATTTCCTACTTCAACAGGAAGTACACCAGTTAAATAGTTGGATGATAAGTCTAAAACAATGGACAATGATGAGAGTCCAATTATTTCAGGGGGTACAGATCCACTTAGATTGTTATCAGAAAAAGACAATGCAACCAAACTTTTGTAATTAACTAGACTTGGAGGAATGTTGCCCTGAAGATTGTTCCTATTTAAATAAAGTTGGGTTAGCATTGTCAAATTTCCAATAGAAAGGGAATAGGCCCAGAGAGAAAATAATTATAATGAGCATTAAATATCTCTAGCTTCTTAAGCCTCCCAATAACAAGGGGAATAGAACCTGATAGCAGATTATGTGATACATATAGTACCACCAAATTGATGAGATTTTCAATTCCGACTGGAATTCTTCCCAATATTTTGTTATATGCTACTTGTAGAAACAAATGGTGCTAGACAATTTGCTAATGCACTTGGGTAATACCCCTTCGAAATTATTTTGGCTTATATCTAGAGTTTCTAGTTTGGTAGTATTGGTTAAAGAACAAAGAAAGTTTAAGTCACTTGTTCCCCCATTTCCAAAATGATTTTCGCCTATGAGAAATCTAGATAGTTTATCCAGCTTTTCAAATGAAGGCAAGTTTCCACTAAGTTGGTTTGATGAAATTTGAAGTTCCATGAGATTTGAGGCATTGGATATTGAACAGGGAGTTGTCCAGTGATTTGGTTTTGTAAGACAGAAAAGGTCACAATATATGGCATAGTGATTCCCAAGTCAGAAGGAAGAGTACCTTGAATCTTGTTTCCGGTAACATCGAAACTTGTAATCTTAGAGAGATTGAAAATTGAGATAGGAACAATTCCAGAAATTAAATTTAATGCTATAGAAAAACGTGAAAGATTTGTCAGTTGCCCAAGAGATTCAGGTATAACCCCATTCAGTCCATTCATAGCCAAAGAAAGTGTCTCCAAAGACGATGAGTTTCCCAAGGAAGGTGGAATACTCCCTGCTAAACTGTTGTCGAAAAAACCTAAATATTTTAGTTTTGACTAGTGACCAAGCAAACCCGATATTTCTCCCGATAGCTGGTTGCTTCTAATATGAAGAACTCTAAGCTTAGAACAAACAGATCAATTGGAAGGAATTTCACCATTGATGGAGTTATTGGACAATTCTAATATTTCCAATCTTCTAAAACGTCCAATTTCTTGAGGAATTTCGTTGCTAAAGCTGTTGCGTGCAAGATTCAATACCCTGAGAAAACTCAAATTTCCAATGTATGGCGATACAGACCCCGCTAGTTTCTGGGATTGCAATTCCAGCTTGGTTACTCTCTGATGTTTGCGACCGCACGTAACACCATACCATTGGCAGAAATGGATGGAATTATTCCAGGAATGCATAACGCTTAGCTGATCACCAGTTATCTTGGCTTTGAACTCGAGTAAAGCTTGTTGATCCGTGTCATTACCATTAACTACAGGGGCTGCTAAACCAAGCAAGTTAAGACCTTGCAGGTTGAAGCATGAGAGAAGAATTATAACTTCAACATAAACGAGGGAAAAAAAGCTGGACACTTTGAAATGCTTGATCGATAGCTCCATCAACCCGAATCAATTTGTTAATTGATGAGATTGATTCGTATTTGAGAGTGCTTGGGTTCATCAACAAGAACTACAGTGCAATATAAGAAATTTTGGGAACTCTGATATTATGTAACTGTATCCCCCATCAAGCTTTTTGACTTTGAAAGTCGTGTGTAGAAATTGCTCAAGTGGAAGCGTCTATTTGGGGTTGGCTTTTTTCCTGGCTTTTTTATCATTATTGAGCAATGCTTTCTATAGTGGATACTTTCCTCCACTTCTGTATGTTTTTCGTCGCTTTCATTATCTATCCATCTTACGGTGTTTTACTTTTTTATCTTAATATATACTTTTTGGAAAATGATTTTTTTCAACTTTAGACTAAATGCATTTATAAGTAATAACAAATTGAGTAGCAGGAAATTGAATGGAAAGAGATTAAATCTTGTCCGAAACAAAACTAAGAGAGTAACAAAAGTTATACAAATTAAAAATCATACATAAAATAAGCTTGAACATGGTTTTCTCAGCTGATCCCTTTCTGAGAAATCTTTATTCTTTATTTCTGATCAATAGTTTAAAAACGAGCAAGAAAATTAAGTTATCATTTAATTGAGGTCATCTGATCATTTCTGATTGATCAATCAGTCAGATATTAGTTTCAAAGAATAACTGCGCCTTGTCTTTGTAAATTCCTTTTTCTGAGTTTTCTTATTGTTATGTTAGATGTTTTACAGGGTTGATTGGTAGAGCTTAATTCATATTCAAAGGCTAGACCATTTAATTAATCATTTTCATTCCAAATGTCTATAACACCACCCAGCAAGATGAATTTAATTAGTTTTCATATTTTCTACTCAATAACAATGGGATATTGATAAAAATTTGTCTGATTTGGTTATATTTATTTTTCTAATTATAAATAAATTGTATATGTACTAACTTAATAAATTGAAAAAAAAAATTGTTTAGTAAAATTGCTTCCCTTGCTCCTTTATTTTCATTATCGGGATTAATTGGAAGTGTTTAAGGGACTTTGCAAACTTGGCCATGTATAGGAATTTGGCCAAAAAAGAAAAAGGTTTGCATGATCGGAACAAAGAATGGTAGAATCTGACCAGATAATGATAACGGAAAAATAAAGAAGTGGGTCTGTTGCATTTGCATGCGTTTACGTTGAACTGATTTTTTTGGTGTGAAGTCATTTTTTTGGGTGGGGAATCTAACTAGATAATGACAATGGAATTAAAGAAGTAAGTCTGTTGCATTTGCATTTACCTTGACCTGATTTCTTTGGTGTGAACCAATTTTTTTTTTTTTTTTGGTGGGGGAATCTAACTAGATAATGACAATGGAAAATAAAAAAGTGGGTCTGCTGCATTTTGCATTTACCTGGACCTGATTCTTTGGTGTGAACTCTTTTTTTTTTCCAAACTCCAAACTCACCTATCAATTTCAACACATAAAGGAAAAAACCTTACACTAATAATTACGACTATATCACTTCAACTATCTACAATGCCAAACTAGATTTTGATTGGTAAATGGATAAACATATTTCAACTAATGTATAATTGTTATACTTTTGAACTATATATTATACCAATTTTTTATAGTATTTTCCTAATTCATATGAGCATTGGAAATTTTCGGGAATTTTGGTCTGGAAATGAAAACTGACAGGTTGACCATTAATTTGAAAAGTAAGTGTATGTAGTCATGAATACATTTAACTCGATTGAACTATTACTATACTTGATTATCAGTATTATAGTTTTCACCATGGTTGGTGATCATACCTAAAGATGATATTCCAATTAGAACCAGTTAGTTAGAACTGCAAATAGTCTGAATTGAATGGACAAGCATAAAACATGTGGATTCTTTCATTTTATGCCATCGAAAGGAAAAAAAACACTCTTCCATTTATAATACCACCTGGTGATAATCAGTGCTTTTCTGGATCTGTTTGACTTTTTTTTTTTTTGAAAATGAAATAATAGTCCTTCTGAGAAAATCAATAGAAGTAGAAAAAGCTTATCTTTTGATGAAAACAAGAGTGATTAAAATACAAACAATAAAAAGAAGCTGCAAAATGTGAGCCACACTTGTTATACCGGATATTTTTCCTCACTTCTATAATATATAATTTTCGATCACATCACTTGTAGGCTACAATATAGTTGGTGGAGATTCTCAGAAAGAGAAAGAAAAAGGATTCAGTTGACTTAGAAAATTTATTAAAAGACCTTCATTCCATTCAACTTGTGTCAATATAAATGTTGTAATGGTTGGTGGAGATTCTCATTAAAAAAAAAAAAAAATGGCGATCAATGTATCTCTTTAGGTTATGGCAAGCAATGGCATGCTTTGAATTCAAGCTAGAAGGCCATAGTCTCAATAACTAAACTCTAAATTGAATCACATTCATGCAAATTTGGTGGTGTAAGTTCACACATTAAAGGAATGCGATCATGTATGCATTAAATAAAAGTTAATGTCATGAATAATTTTCTAATTATAGTAAAATATTTTATTTAAATTTAAAAAATTTTAAATTTGATACATAAACTATGACTATTAATTAATATAGTATTCATTCTTAAAGGAACTATCTTTAAATGATAACATATGATTAAGAAATAATTTTTTAAATATTACATTAATTAATAAATTTAGATAATTTAAATATCTAATTACATATTTTTAAAATTTAAGTATCATATTAAATATTTTATTATAATTAAAAAATAATTCATAACGTTAATCCATTAAATAATGGTCATATACAATAATGTAAAACATTTATATGCAAAAATACCAATAAAAAAGTTAATTACTCATTTGAAATTTCAATTTCAAAATCCGTAATTTTCTTTTTTCCTTAAATTATCTTTTAACTCTTTTTTTTTATCCTTAAACTATCAATAACTCTTTATCTCTAAGTCGTGACTTCCTATAAAAAAAGGGGTCACAGATAATTAGAGTGGAAATATTAAGTTCAAATTTTTTTATAAATAAATTAAACCAAGAAAATCGGATATATTATTTAACTATTTTAAGTATTTATTACAGTTTTATGGATCTCTAACTTATATATTCAAACCCAAGTAAAGGCCCAAAAAATTAAGGCCCAGATAAATTGATCAAACGCACACAGAGAGTTATATTATCGCCTTTCAGTTTAGCCTTCCTTAAGACAGAGACTTCAGACTTCCAACTTCATGGCTATTTTGTTTTTTTTTTTTTGTTTTTTTAAATAAAATCTTTGACCTTTTCGTACAAGATCTTGAAGAGACAATCAGACAAAAGAATATCCGCGTTCCCCGACTCGTTAACTTAACTCGGCGACACCCGGTCGACTCTTTCGACTCGGTTCCACCCTAGGAAGACGAAGACAGCGGCTAGCCGGTTACGAACCGTCTCAGCAATTCGACTCTTTCGCTGCCGAGTCAGACCATGCCAAAGACTCGACTGATGACGTGTTTGCACCGCAGCCGTACACGAATGGAGAAGAGTTTGGCCAAGATTTTGGCCGATTGGACGGCCCGATTTTGCATACGCCGGCGGAGATGAAGCCCGAGGAAGGCATTGCTCTCAGGGAAAAGATAACGTTTTTGAGTTTTTTTTATAATTTCGTTTTTTAATGTTCTTATTTTTGGTTACCGAGAAATTTTGAAGAAATTTTAAGGAAAATAAAAGTAGAAATTAAAGTTATGAATTTGGTTCTTAGCTATTTTAGAAATATGAAATAAAG